TGTCGCACGAATCGATTGTTATTGCATCGAGCAACGTAGATCCACGATTCCCACCGTGAGATCGCGAAAGTACTTGTGATTAATTATTTATTTTCGGCGAATTAGGTGTAAAAGACAAAGGGAAAACGTGTTTGCTTACAGACTTCCTGTACCATGGACCAGAATCTAGCACGTCTACAGAACCCTCACCGATTTTTGAGAGAAAATCGTTTCCTGGAAGGGGAAGACCCAAGTAAGCCTATCATTAATCGATTATTGATCTTTTTAATCTTTTCCACGATGCTCTTGAATTTCTAAACTGATTGTTTGCTCAAATATCAAAATTTACAGTTAAATAAAGACTTACATTTAAATATGTCGTCAAATTCGACATTACATTTAAATTTAAAATACACGATCTAAATTGATCACTAAAGTTATTCATAAACCGATAGTTGAATATATTATATAATCCGAACGCATTTTTACAAAAACGGAGGAAGATATATTTCATCGAGGCGGAGATTGTTATCAAAGATTTCCATTACCCTGTCGGGAAAGCTTTTACGAAAAACTACGTAGATTGAAATAAGATCTTAGAAATTATTACTTTTTCATATATGTTCGTAGTGGGACGTAGAGCGGCGTTGTTTCTTCGAAAAACTTAGAAATCTTTCGCCCTCAAACAACGCCATTTTATAACGTCCCACTACGAATATCTACGAAAAAGTAAGAATTTCTAAGCTCTTGTCTCAATCTATATAGTTTTTCTGTACCTTTATATAAAAATTTTTTTTCCGCCAGGAAACTACAATATATGTTCTTATCAACTTTTCATTACAGACTTCTTGTTGACCAAGCTCGGGTTTTAAGCTCATATCGTTAACTAAATGAAACATGTCCCCACTATTTGCAAGATAAAAGAAAATCCGTTTGCATTCAGGATGTTACAGCTGGCGCGTCATACCAGCGAGGAGGCCCGTGCCAACTTCGGGCCAATCCCCGGGCTTGGCCATCCCAAGCACCAGTCGGGCAATCCCTGTGCCAATCGGGACCAGGAGCGTGACGGATCAGGAAACCTGTTCGTCCCCAAGCTGGACCCACCCTCGGGCTTCTCCGACGCGTTTGAGCTAAGCGAGGCCGAGTGCGACTTCGATCGCGGTCATAACAGCCAACGAAACGTCCGTGACTTCGTAATCGCGGTGTAAATACGTGTAAAAGCCTCCGATGCGTACGCGAGAATCCCCGTCGTAAGACGTAAAAGAGAAGAGGAGACATTAAAAGTAAATAGAAGAGAAAGGAAGATGAGTATAAAGGAAATATCGCGCGAGATTTGTGCAAGCCGCGGTCCGTCGTTTCGTTAATGCGAATTGGCGTCTCGGTATCCGATCGCCAGCTATTCAAGTGATAATTCCACGTGCTCCTTCGTCCTGCTCCCGGCCTACGTCGACGAGAACGCGTCCGTCAGCTCGACGATCACACGCTCCGTAAACTGCCACCGGCGTTTCCGGCAAGATCGATCCGACGTCAAGATTATTTCTCGGCTTAAGTATTTTAGGGTTACGATTTAGGCGAACGATCGCGAACGAACGCGCTGCGATTGATCGTAACAAAGTTAAGTTTAACAGAGAGAGACAGAGAATCTATAAGCTGCCGTTTATTGGTTCCGCTTGATGGAACCACAAAGTTTTATGTATCGCGTCGCGTTCGGGTACTTGACGGAGTACTTGAACGGACCAGGTCGAGTTCTACATTGTTGTCTGTTCTATATCGTGGCGCAAGAAGAAGCGAACGAAGAGTTCCCGTGAGTCCGCGGAGCGTCTCGACGACGACGATCCGTATAAACTGCCACGTTTCATTCCGCATTCCGTGTAATAATCCTATAGTTAGTTAAAAATGGCGGCGTTATACGCGCGATCCATATCCACCTCGGATTTCTTCCCTCCACGACGATCTTTATATTCGAATATCTCCGATTTACCGAACACAAATACGTACACATTCCCCATACAATCTTCTAATTATTATAATAGCGAAAATACGACGCGAACGCGCGACGACTGTAATTAAACTGTAAAAGTCTAACGGTAACTGCCATCTTACTCTACTACGAAGCGACCAACGACTGCGAAGAGATCTACGATCGGCCGAGATACCCCCGAATCGTTTTCTGACTATTGTACGTGTCTCTGGCGCGAGACACTTGTACATGCATATCGAAGCGAGCAATACTCGACCTCCAAACATTTTTCCTTGTCTTCCAATCATTCTCGTCGATTCGATCAAACGTCCATTCATCCACACCATCTCCCGCTTCTCCGCGAAGAGTGTTACCGTATATGTCTATGTAAAGAGAAAGTAACGCAATCATTCGTCGTTGTCGTCAGTGTCGTTTTAACTTATCCGCGAGAGACTGAAAGAAGCATTGTAGTTTAGGTTTACACTTGACATCTGTCATAAGATGTCACAGATCTCTGATCACAGATCTCTGTGATTTGTGCGAAAGCTGAGCAAGTTTACAACGTCGATGAAAGGAGAACGCGTGAGAACTGTCAAACGCGAGTATCGTGAAAGAAAACGTCGAATGCGACGAATGTTGAGCGTAAACCTAGTCTTAGACGAGTTATCACGTAGCGTAAACGTAACGACCGAACATAATGTCTGTAAGTTGTCTATTACTACTGTACCCATTGTACACTTCGCTCACAAACTGCCGCGTACGTCACACTCCATCCGAGACCCAGCCCCTCTCCCGACAGATAAAAGAAGAAATGAAAAGGAAGAGTTCGAAGAAAATGCAAATGCGATGCCAGTCTGCGTCGATTAACGATCGACGGACCTTAAAGATGATGATGATGATGATGATGATGATGATGATGATGATCTAAGAAATTATTGAGGTACATGAGAAGAGTACTATTTCACGAGTGTTATCGTAATCTCCGCGATACTACGTGTCGCCATCGAATCATTTTCGCCAACACGTCACCCGTTGGCTTGTTGGGTTACCGTTCACACTCGGTCGGGTGACCATGATTTTTCGGCCAGCCGGTTTAAGTGCCCCCATGCCTTTCCCTGTTATTTCGGCCCTCAAGTCATTCGCGCGAGGTGGAGGAAAGCGAAAGGAGTCGCCCTGTTGATGATATATCGTCTATCTTTATGACACACGAAATGATTTACCACGAAATTCGTACTATTGTGTTTTAGACGACTTTAGATTGTTTATATTCTATTTACTTTGTAAAATATACAACACTAATTCCATATTGGAAATGTGCTCGTCTCGTGCCTGTGTGTTTCTTTACCTGTCCATCTGTTTCCCGTTCGTTAAAGTCTAATCGCAAATTTGTTTTGCGAAAATATCAAGTTGATTTACGCAAAGAGTACAATACAGCTTTTATAAGGACTTCTATTTTATAATTAAAAGGACTTCTTTTTTTAATTTTACCAAGGTATTAATTTTATCATCATTCTTTTTCTATGATGTTAATTGATGCTTTTGCAATGTTTATTTTGTACGATCGTTTTTACGAAGATCAGATATTTTGACAGCTTGCAAAATAGAATTAATTTTATTTATTAAAAAAAATTTGATACTAGTTTATTTTTTTTTAAGATAATGGGTATTTAAATTGATATACTCGTCTCAAGTCCTGCGTGCCGATGCGTATATAAACAAGAATGAACAATTCTATAAACGATATGTTAAGTCGGATCTATTAAAGCATTTACAAACGTGGATGAATAAAATTATTTAAGATAAATTTGTTATGTAACTATTTATAGCATCCTTTGATAGTCGATTTTTGTTTGGTGAATGACCTGATTCGTAGACATTAAAAATGTTTACAGCAGTTATTTTCATAATTTTTTCTTGTATGTTAAGAAATCTGGCGATTTAATTTAAAATGAATCTATTAATTATTTGAGAAGATTAAATTACATATTATAATATATTCTATAAACAACCTTATGTTTATCGCTGTAACCAACGATCGATTAATCTTGAGAGAATATACAGCCGTGCAATCCTCTCAAGTCGGCAGTGTGTGTGGGTGTGTGTGTGTGTGTGTGTGTGTGTGTGTGTGTGTGTGTGTGTGTGTGTGTGTGTTTGTGTTTGTGTTTGTGTGTGTGTTTGTGTTTGTGTGTGTGTTTGTATGTGTGTTTGTGTGTATGCACGTTTACATGTGTGCGTGTATACATATTAAAGATACATACTGCAAGGGTGAAACAGTCCACCCGGGCATGCGCCAAGCTTCCTCTCCCTTCAGATACTATGAGCGGTGGTGTCTACGGCGGTGGTAAGTACGTGGCCGCGCTCCATAATTATTCTAACCAGAAAATGTATACATTTATACGCTAGACTAATTCCACGTGGTTGTCCGCGATTATTACACCAGACGAGGTAGGTGCTATCATCTTCGACGTCGGACACCAGAACCTCCGCGTGGGATATGGCGGCGAGGATACGCCGAAGGCCGAGATCCCGACGACCCTCGGGGTGTGGGAGGAACCCGCCGACCCCAGCGGGATTGACTGCAACAATGTCACCAAGAAGCACTACAACGTCGACGTCACGGCTATCCAAGTGCGAAAAAAGGGTATGCTATCAAATTTTAGTTTTTCAGACTTGCAGAAATCAGTTGATTAAATTGATAAATATAAAAATACAAAATATAATTAAATATAAAATAGAAGTGACACTTCAAAAGCGAGAATGTGTTTTCGATTATCAATTTTGTGTTTCATATAATCTACTACGCATATATTATAATAATACTTCTGCCGTAACTGTAATATAATTAAAGAAACCGATATTTCAATCGCGTTAACATTCTGATAAATGTTATTTAAATAAAAATAAATAAATAAAATGAATAAAATAGCGTAATAAATTATTAATCATTATTAATAAGCCTACAAACCTTTTTTTCGTGATTAATAATAGCTTTAATCGAATTAATCAAATGTAGAAAACAGAATTCTTTCTAAGACATATAAAAATCCCACAAATAAATAAATGTTTTTTCCGCGATTAGTGAAAACGTAACGATCAATTGTAGAAATTCTCGAATTCTCTGATTTCAACGAAATTTCATATAAAACAATTTTATTTATGCAATACTATATTTGTTTACACGTAGAATTACCTTTTGATTGCACCAAAGAAAATAATCTGTATAAAATATTTTTGCCTAAAATTTTAATACATATTATACAATTATTATAAATATTTAGTATTAAAGTAGATAATTCATTTATAATTAATCCCGTTTAGTACAAGATTAATCAGTGTAAGTACAACGTCATTATTAACAAGTATTTATTTATATTTTACTTATTTTGTTAGAACTTTCGTAATACTGAAAAGTCCGGTTTGGATTTAGATATGGAGATAGTGAGCCTGATGAAGGACGGTATGATCGACGATTGGGACATGTTTGAACGACTGACCGAGTATACATACAAGCAACGACTGCATGCCTTATCCGAGCATCATCCGATCCTGATGACCGAGTGTCCGTGGAACACCAGACTGAAACGCGAGAAGTTGTTAGAGCTCATGTTCGAGAAATTCAACGTGCCGGCTATGTATATCTGCAAGAACGCCGTTTTGGCTGCTTACGCGAACGGTAGATCTACGGCGATGGTCGTGGACAGCGGTGCCACGCACACTAGCGCAGTGCCGGTCCACGATGGTTACGTTATCACTCAAGGAATTGTCAAGAGTCCTTTGGGTGGCGATTTCATCACTATGCAATGTAGACAGTTCTTCGAGGAGAAAGACATCGAACTGGTACCAGCTTGTCTTGTCGCCAGCAAAGGTAAATAATGTTTCACTAAAAATGCTTATTATTATAATATATATGTGGAAGAAATTTACATACAATGACATATAACTACAGATTATTATAGCTATTTCTTACAGGATAAAATATTGGCAGATTTTTTTTATCGAAGTTAAAAGATATAATTTAGATTTCAATAAACTATTATTGTATATAAAAAATTCTAGTATAATTTTGAAAATTTCCGCTTACTAATTTATGTTTTTTTTTAGATGTAGTACGAGAGAGAGATCCTCCTCGCTGGACGAAACGACCCGGACCGCAACCATCGTCGTCCTGGCTGAGTTACATGGTGCGAGAGTTGTTACAGGACTTTCAGATGAACTGTTTGCAAGTATCGGATAGTCCCTATGACGAAGATATGGCAAATACTCTACCCATGAAGCATTATGAATTTCCGACTGGTTACAACGATGATTTCGGATCTATAAGGCTCATGATACCCGAGGCTCTCTTCGATCCTAGTAACGTTAAGGGTGTAGGCGCGAGTATTTTAGGAATTGGCCCTCTGGTCACCACAAGTGTCGGAATGTGCGATATGGATATCAGACCAGTATGTATCTTCAAATTAATTAGATTGAATTAGAGTGACAACCTTTTTAAGGCATTTTGAATCAATTTTGCTCACGGAAAATAATTTTGTTGGATTATCAAAATAATTATGTAGAGATCTCAAACATGATGAGCAATATTGCAAAAATATTAACATTCTAGCAACACAAGTTAGAGTATCTTATATACAAAATTATTTTGATTCAAACAAAACTATTTTCAAATCTGTATCTAACTGAATTTTTAGATACTTCAGCAAAATCGTTATTTCTGAGTGTGTACACTATTATTTGTAAAATAATAAGACTACATATGTTGCAGAGTCTGTATGGCAGCGTAGTGGTGACCGGCGGCAATTCTTGTCTTCAGGGCTTCAGTGAGAGACTGAATCGGGACCTGGCCAGTAAAACCCCACCGGTAACTCGTTTTGTAATATTAAGTACTTATTATGAAGTTTCAAATTTCTCGATTTATAATAATTTAATTCTCACAGAGTATGAGACTGAAAATAATCAGCGCAAACAGCTCAAGCGAGCGACGTTATGGTGCCTGGATCGGTGGCTCGATCCTCAGTTCTTTGGGCTCATTCCAGCAAATGTGGCTGTCGCGTCAAGAGTACGAGGAATCTGGCAAACTTATTTTGGAAAGATGCGCGTAATTAAGTAATGGAGAAAATTGAAAAATAGTTTTCAGTAAATTAATTTTTATCCTCTTATTTTCAGTTTTAAATTAATAATTGCTTCCCAAGTAACGCAAAAAATCTTTGAAAAACGCTTATGAAAATTTTAAAAGAAAATTATCGAGATAATTAGGATATTCTTGCGATATTTATCGTACTTTTGTGTTACTTGGGTAATTTATATATTGGTATAATGGAAAGAGAGGAACTCATTAACTTTTTATCACAGATACTAATCAAATGTTTTACGCAAACGTTAGAAGCAATTACGTAACAATTCACATGGCGACGGTGTAACGTAAACCGTCCTCGTAAGCAACAACTATCAAACTCATTTCTGAAGCGCCTAAAGTATTATTAATAAAAACATAAAATGTGCTAAGATTTTTCGCGATTTGAGAGATAATTTTTTATAGGAAAGATTTATGCAGGATGTTTCCTCGTGACCTTGCATTATAATTAGCAGAAAGTGCGATTAATCAGAAACACTTTGTGTTAAAACGCATAAATTGCGGATAAGCAATGTTTAATCTACAACTCGCTTAAACGCCAGTGTTAGATAAACACATACGGCTTATAAGAATACAGTTCCTAATTGCTCCGTGCTAATCTTCCATATATCGTATCTTTGAAGAGAAGAATCACTTCCTGTTAAATTCCAACAAACGTAAATGGATATAATATACAATAGATTTATCGCGCAATAGATTTTTATTACTTTATTAGTTTTTATATTTTTTTTATTAGTTTTTTATTAGTTTTTTTTTATTTTTTTATTAGATATTTATTTGCTAAAAACATAAAAATACTCATTTTATACGTTGAGGTAATAGAGACATATCCATTATCGCAACTATCTTTTAAGTTATTTTCAAGAAAAGTAATATTGTCGTAAAGTAATAAAAATAGTAATAGTATCGTACATTCGTTATTTACTTACTATTGATATAAAAATATCACACAAGAGTCACGCATTATTAATCTTAGAACTGCATACACATTTTTTGTTGCACACGTAGACTACATGCCGAGTCTCTCAAACACAGTTGGATATTTTTATATGTATAGATATCTAATTCTGGGAAAGCATATATTTTTCGACAAATCTTTTTCCAGGAGATCAAAGTTCTAATCAACTTGCTAAATTAAAAAATAAATATTTAAACAAAAAGAAATTCTCAAAAATGTTAATGACGAAATCTTATTGGATCTCGCAGATACATGTGTGTAGTTCTGGGTTTAAGAAGCTGGCGCGGATATTTTCATAAAGAAGAAATATTGCTTGAATCAAAAATCGATGAACTATTAAATGTGACAGATAGCAATTAACAACAATTTAAAAGAGCAGCAACTTAAAATTCTAATAAATTAATTTTTATTTCTCAACTCGCTCAGAATATTTCAATTGCTTTATATATTTTACTTACGACATAATTGATTCTATTTTTATTTTGCAATTTAAAACTTATGAATAAAAAAATTTATATTTGTCGCTATTATAAATATTACATGAAGATTGAACCCTTATATATATGTTAAGTTGCTGCTTTCTTAAACTGTATCGTTGAAACAATCATGTATAAGGCAAAAACAGAAAAATATTGATTATTCTGATGGCTCCAAATCACTTTATTAAAATTGACATATATATCTATAATACTTAGAATCACAATCTTTTAATCAAAAAAATGTAAGAATAATCTTAATAATAGATATCAATATATCAAAGTAGAAATGTGGTAGTTCGAACCTAGTAATTTTTATATCTAATCACAAGAGTGAGTAAGAAGACGGTGTAATCCAAGTGCGTTATTATTTCTAATTAATCGATGAGGTCAATTCATTACAGTAGCTATTAATACTGAGATATCCTCAAATCAACGAGCGATTAGTTCTCGACGGTGCGGAATCTTAAGGACGCACGAAAATACTTGCGTATCTCGTTTCATCGCAACAAGTCGGATATATTATGGAAACTATATAAAGATCAACAATAGTAATCTCAGAATATATCTCTACGATATCAGCACTAGACTACAGTAAAACAAGACTACAGTACAAGTCAAAATTTAGATATGTTATAGAGAAGAAATATAGATTTACAGTACAATTTTCAAAATTTATACGCATATCGTGAAACAAATAGACCTATAGTACAGCAGGATCTAGGTACAGTTATTCCGAAAGAGAAAAAGAAATTCTTTCGTTCCGCAGCGAAAACACAGATGATATTCGTGTATTATATGTTACGTCGCCTATGTATATTTAATATGCGACATGTACTGCAATATGCCCTGTTCCTAATCTTTTAAACGTTTGTACCGAATAAAGCTCGGATATTTGTAATTGTAATACATTGTAATCCAAACTGCTTACAAACCGCTTATAACGAATCTAAAATGTTTCTGCGAGTGACACGGTCATGACTTTAAAAATATCATTTAGAAAATCTAATAAATATCAATATTTATAAAATATATTAAAAGTAGTAAACTATATAAAAATTCATCACCGTGTCGCCTGCATTCTGAACGTTTGCTTTATTAATATTTCCTCAAAATTTCGTAGATTCGAATACTCCCACAAAGCTAAAAGTTTAACCGGACTAGAACGTTAATAATTTTATGATCCGCGAATGCGCGATTAAACAATTGCATACATTTGATCTACATGCAATCGTTAAATTAATAAAAGAGACACCTCATATTTGCCGTTAATCATCGGCATGTTGTGTTGAGGAACTTTTAAAAGTAAGTTTCTACAGAAACTTTGTTATCACTCAGTAGCAGGGGAACCACCACGATATCTTTAACTACCTAATCGCGTCGGTTGCGGTAATTTACAAATGGCATTGTGAACAGGCATGGACAACCAACCGGCTAACGCAATCCCGATAGAGTCTGCCATCGTCGCGATTCCCAAAGAAGCTTCGCGATCCACCTTCGGAATCTATAAGAGATTTCACGCCAAATTAATTTTAAGTCGTAGAAAATATCATTAGATAACATTTATAAAATTGCGGAGAACTCAACGCATTATTTTTCCGCAAAATATAAATTCACAGTAATATTCACATCAATATTCTAATTTCTCACTCAACGATATAAATGTATTGTAATACAACACGTATTGTTTATAACAGTTACATTGCTGAAATTGTAACATAGGAAATTGTAACATTAATATAAGTTATTATTAGTTTGTGTTCTGCAGGTTTCGTTTGATTTGCATAGTTTTTTAATTTTAACTTATTTCTTAAATAAAGATGTAGCATCATTACCTCAGTTGACATTCGATAGAACGTGTTCACATACGCTCCACCGCCAAGTAGACCCTCCCACAATACAAGAGCAAAAACGATCCATATATTTGGTATGTAATAATAGAGGGTCTCGAAGAAAAAGAGTATAACGTTAAAGAACTAAAAGAAATATAATGAGTTTTAGATCGTATGATCTGTATTTTTTGTTCGACTTCCTGATTCCGAAAGTTTTATTACCTGCAACACGGACATAATCCAAATTTTATTAATGGTGACCAGGTTCACCGACGACCTCGAGATAAATACACCTATTTGGTAATCCACTTGGAGCCATCTGTATTGTTCGGAGTGTGTCAACCAAATATCTTTGAATTCGACAAGTTCGTACTATAAACAAAGTTTCGCTTATTTAATTATGACTTCTGAAATTAATGAGCTAAATAATATATTCGCAATGATAAAGCTGATAGGTCATAGACGATGCCTGACGATGTAATTCCTGTACATATTTTCCTCTTAAAAATCAAAATGAGAATTGATTTGATTTAACAAGAGCATAAATAAACGTGGCAAAATTATATAATATTAACAGAAAGAAAAAGATTGTAGGTATATAATTAATAGACAAGTAGAGGAAAGATATGTACATATATAGTGAAAAAATATAAAGATTGTCATTACCAAGCCTTGATTAATGAAGTATTCAAATAGGTAAACGAGCCCAAGTGGTATCATGTACTTCAGCAAGCCAGGCACTAAATTAATCTTATCCCTGAAAGTCTTTTCAGGGATCTTAATGATTTGTTCTTGACTATCGATGCCGTTCTTGGTGATTGGAATTCTGATGTGCGTCGGGTGTTTGAGGATAACCCAGAACGTGACCGCTTGCAAAAGTGGCACGATCAACATGACTAGCAATGTATTCTCGATAGATAGTACCAAGGTGAGTCCAGCGTAAGATACAGCGCCGATTACTCCAGCGCCGCCCGTGCCCGATGACCACGTCGAGATCACTTGCCTGCGAGAAAATTAATAGCAATTAATGATAAGAAAATTCCAAACATCTGAGAAGCTGATAAAATAAAGGCTAAAGAGATAGAAGTTAAAATTAATAGAAGCTTATCTTACAATTTTCGCATTTCAAATTATCTGACGTTAGAGCTTAATAAATAGGTTGCTCGTTATCTAACGAGTGTTTGTATTACGCGACTCTTCCGCTTTTGCATTTGTCTAAAATGACAGTACGACATCTTGAACGACAGACAAATAATTCCTAGTGTAGGTTTTCTTACGTTTTACAAGAGAATGATCAGCGATTAGATTATGATTACCCGTCGTAATTGCTACTCTGTAGTTATCCACGTGATTATAAACGTGATTACAAACCTATATACATGCTGGTAATTTTTACGCGTACAGTCTTTTATCTTATTTTTCTTGATATGATGTAAATCGTGCGCGTATATTTCGTTTTATGCGCACTTTTAGATCTGAACTCCCTGGCGTTGCATTATATTATCACTATTTCTCTGTTACTGTTTAAATATTTATACTACAATTCTGGAAATATACCCGCCGTCGTGGCAACAGATGACTCTGACTCTTAAATATGCCTCATAAATTTGAGCCGAAAACTTTATGCCCTTCGACATTCTACCTTATATTTTAATACACGTTCAAAGTATAAATTCTATACTTCTTACGTTTTTTTTTTATTCCTTCTACTGTTCCTAAAGAATTACTTTCTAAAGCATAGAAAATTATATCCCAAAAAAATTATCTACCTTCATTTTACACACGCATCTGTTTTAAATATAAATTACATTTATTACAATTAAATTAATATAAAAATTCTATGCAATGAGAAGCTGTTAAATCGATGATCTATATATTTCTGATCTATATATTCGAGAGCTATAAGAAGTTTCAGTTTCCGGTGTATGCAACAAGCGAGAATAAATATAACGCATCTGTAATATGATAGTAACAAATAAACAATAATAAATGGAATGTACACACTTACTTAGAGAATTGATTACTGTAACTGAGAAGAGTAACTTCACCCAAGCCGGAGGAAAGCGACGTTATAATAACGCCCATAATGGCGATCCATTCGGTAGTACTCAACGACACCATGAGGAATCCTGCAGCGGAAAATAACACACAGGTAGCCAGTCGAGCACTGTAATTAACGAGTCGATTGATCGATTAGCGATTGACGGTTAGGGCCGGTTGCTTGTACAACCGCGGAAAGGACTTACACGATATCCGAGGCTCCGTTGTGCGCCGGATGAGCTTTTTTTTTTTAAAAAAAAAAGAAAAGGAAATATATCGAGAGAAAAAAGACAGTAAAGAGTAAAAATACTCGGATTTGCTCGATTTTATATTCGATTAATTTTCCATGCAATTTGTGCACTTTGGACAAATCTTGAATTTTTTTTCTAAAAAATGTATACGTCTTATAAAAGAAATTTATTAGTTAGATAATATTTCAAAAAATTATTTTATATAAAAATTTTAGATGTACTGATAATTTTTTTTTTACATATTCATACATATACATTCGTATGTATACGAAAAAAGTAAAGGCGTTTAGAAAATGAATACTGCTAGTTAAGTTAAATCTAGTGTATTACGGTTTTTTTTATCACTTTTGATATTTGCGTTTTATCTTTAGACTATACTAACATAACTAGGAATGCACATGTTATTATCAAGAACATCCAATCGTCGCGATATAAATTAATCTTGGCACTTCACTTTTATTGCAGTCATCTTGAGCTATAATATTATATAGAACATCCGAGCGTGGAATCTCTACAGATGTCAAGATAAGATATTTTAATTTTACAGAAAAGTATTCGAATATTAATATAATAAATTGCACAACGTGAAGAAAATTGTGTAGAATCTGGAAGACAATAAAATGTTTTGCGAAAAAAATGAATCACACGTTGCGTTCAGTTCTGTTATCACTTCAATTATTTAATGAGATTATACATATAATACATATATAATTGTGGGAGGTAATTTGTTTTGCAGTGTTCACTGGCTTCGTTCTGACAAGTAATTCTGGATAACGCTAAGATGCACAAGAGTGCACTTCGTAGCGTTAAATGCAGCTATATAAAAGAAAAAAAGAAAGAAATAAACATACTCACTGTACTAGAAATGGTAGAAATGGCGCCGTGATCTTGATTGCCAATGCTGGCAGAATATCTGCTAAAAGTATGGCACCAGTTGAAACCGTGTTGCATGTACGAGTCGTATTCCATTGATATTCCGTCATGTTCATGTCGTTTTTGTTTAATGTATCATTCTAGAAAAACCATAAGAATATTTACAATTACAATACATATTCATTTAAAATAAAAATTAAAAAGAAAATATTTGAAACAATTAAAAAATTTATAAAAGTATTGCATAAAATTGATAAAAGTTTGCAAAAGGAGAGATTTTCCGAAGAATTTAATTTGAATACTATCTTTACACAAATTTTTGGCAATATTAAAGATCTCGTCTTTTTATTTTTTTAATAATAAGTTTGCTTTTCAAAATAGAGTAATTTTTGTTTTATGCAGTAAACATCAAAAATGCAGGAACATCAAAAATAATAATGTTAATATTTTACGAGTATGATATTTTGCACGTGACGAATTAATTCTTGTTACACCTATCTGGTTTACATAACATGACCATACATCGACCATAATACGACGCAAAAAACACTGATTGCACAACGTAATAGTGTCATGCTGCTTTATCGATGATACGTTTTTTTCGGAAATCCGGCCGGATGACATAAATTATTAAAGTTACGACGATTTTTCTCGTTTAAGAGGAAATTGAATCATTACATTATTAAAAACGGGTCATTATAGCGCGGATTTATCAATTTGTATTGCTAAACTGCGTAAAACCGAATGATTAAATCAATTGGAATGCGCAATTTGCATAATGCTGATTATAATGTTGGTTTACAAATCGTTAGAAAATTTTCCATAGAAGTGCACGAGTATTTAATTACATATCAGATTGATATCGTATACGGAACGAATTTAATCAATACATAAGTTGTTAAAATAACACCATTGATCACACAAAATTGAATATTATCAATTGACATTTTGATCCATGTCAATTGCAAAAGACTGACTTAAAAAGAAAGATGATATTTATTATTAATATTTATTTATTAATTATGCCAATTCAGTTACGGTTATTTTGTGCGAATATTCAAAATTAATTTTTTACATTAAAAATAACAAATGTGCAAACTAATATAACTTTTATTTAATGTTAAATTAATTGTAAATTATTAATCTGAATTGTTACAATTAATTGACAAATAAATTTACTGTGTTTCAAGTAAGTAAATCGAGTAGCTTCTTAATAATAACAACTATATATGTTCTTTGTTTGCAACATTGCACTTTCAAATCTAGACTGATAAGTCTGTGTGGATTTATAAATAAGATATCTTACGCGAGCTTTACTAAGATATGCATTATCGGATACCGTTTCTCATATTGTTCAACTAATTTCTAAACTGGATAAAAGATAATTTTCAAGAAAATATAGAGATAACTTTACATCCGATAAAAAATTATTAATTACATAAAAATTAATTTGACACAATTATCTCATAAAGCTATTCATCTTTTTTTTAGAATGTTTCAAAAAAATAATATTATACGTAAGAGAATATTTCCAAAATTTAGAAAAAAAAATACGCAAAATTAAAAGATTTCTGAGAATTAAAATAACAAATCATTGTTATGTTAATCTTTTGTAAAGCAAAATACTATAGTTCACACTATCTCATACCGAGATGAACTTGATTCGTATTGTCAGTCTATTGTTATTGTAACTGGAGCAGGCAACAATATGAGAGATCATCCATGAAATAATAAGATCTGTTTTTTATCGAAGATCTCTTTGAATTGTTACACATAATGCAATAAGTGAAGTGAAACAAACTATATCTGTTTCACTTCAACTTATTGCACTGTGTGCACCAATTCAAAGAGTTTTTCCATCAAGAATAGGCCTAATATCATCTTTATCTTGCCTCCTGACTTTCAAAGATTAATCTCAAATATTCCATTAACTCTTTAAAAAATCCATAAACTCTTTAAAGTTTATTAGAATAAATGCTTCAAATTATAACTTTATGATAACTTTAATCTAATTATATTTATTTTTGAAACACTTTCATATGTATAATTTTCTTAAATAATGTTAGAATTTTAATCCAAAAAATAATTATAATTCTAAATTATGATAATTATTTCTTTTTATAAACAAAACGTAAAAATCATGAAAAGGTATTCAATTTATACTTTAATATTAAAAGTATTATAAATAATTTGTTAAGTTATTAGTTCTAATTTAAGAATATAATTTGATGTAATATAATTTTTAAATTTATTTTCTCCAAGTTCTCCAGCTCCAGCTTTTTTTCGGGCGATAAATAATCAAAAATCATACGACTACTCACTTGCTCACCGAATTTGCTCTGTAGGATGTCGTGGGCCGCGCTGAGCATCACGACATAGCCGTAATTGTTGCATAGACCTAGGATCCAGAATGCTATGAGATTGCGCCATCGTACCTTCTTCAAGATAGCTTCCTCGTCAAAAAAATTCTTGGTATGCGAAGTTGTCAGAACATTTTTATTCATTTTGAAGACCAGTTTCGAGAAGAGTACTTTTTTGCTTCTATCGATGTGATCTTACTTCGTTTTCTTTCTCGTTTTTTTAAATTTTACCAATCGTTTTTCTTCTTTATTTATCTCGTTCGATTTCCTTTTCTTCGTCTCTTTCTTCTTTCCTTGTTACTTTGATAACCGTCCCTGTTCTTTTCTTTATCTTTTTCTTGGAGTACGTGCACGCCTGCTAAATCGGCTTGTTGAGTCACTTTTCTTTTTCTTTTTTGCTCTATCGGTCTATCTCTTTCTTACTAACTTTTCCTTTTCTACTTTCCGTTGCTTCGCTTATTCTATCGTTATCACCGTCTCGTCTTCAGTTTCCCTTGACCGAGCGGCTGACTTGGCAGCTGCTTCTTTTTTTAGACTAAATTTAACGTTCAGACTTAAAAGAACTTTATATTGATAATCGCAGAATATAACATGAGAACAATTTGTATGTTCAACATAACGTTGTTTGGCTCATGTGTACAGTTAGTAATTAATATCGATTCGTTGTTTTATTACAGTGAATTATTCACATAAAACAGAGCGTTAAGTTCAACGTAATTCGTTTTTCGCAAAGAAAAAGAGATTATTTCGCTCTAATTAAAAATACGATGACTATATATTGTTTCTATTGATTCTATTGAAATCCTGTATTGGCCTGCCTTTTACATCTTACTTAAATCACTAATTTAGAAGGTTGCTGATAAAAAAATTACATAAAATAAAACACAGTCCCTTTTTCTTCGTAACTGAGAGAATCTTCTTGCAATGGAGAAAAATACATATTATCTCGGTTGATTCTGCAACGGGTTCTCCAATAGCCTTTTGTGTAGGCGATAAATATGAAAATATCTCAGCTACTAGTGAATCATTCGTAGAACACGTGATACTAACAATAAGTTCAATGTCTTCCTTCGTAAACAGAGAAAATATTCTATTCGAAAATAAATATTAGATTAATACCACAAATACTTCGATTTCGTCAATATTTATCAGGTATTCTCTTGATATTTGATCGAGAACGTAGCAAAATGTAATTTTCTTACAAGTTGCGTTTTTCCTTTGAGACTTTACTATATAAATCCACGATCTATGATGCGCTGAATACACTGCTCGAAAATAACGCCAGTCTGCAATTTCTACCTTCAGTTCTCTTCTCCCTCTACAGTATGTATATGCATACTCAAGCTTCGAGAAACTTCTCCAATCTTCCTTCTCCAACTTTTCCTTTTATCGCTCGCGCGTTTAAATTCTTTTCACAAATGCGCTTCTTTTAGGATGCTAGGATAGTGGATTGTTGACACTGAATTTAAAATTGTGCTCCTCGCAATTTTCCCGATAGATAAATGGCGCTTATTTCTATTTTGGAATTGTGTGACCAGGTTAAAAACTTGAGAAAAACAAACAATGATTGAAGATCAAGATCACCTTACCACTTAATTTGGATATTTCTAATGGGTAAACTTTCCTCTCGAATGCAGGTTTTTGCATAGCTCGAGCAAATCCTTCGAAGTTCAGCGACTGTTAATGAAAAAGATAGAATGAGATAATTATAATCATGCTGATTGGATAATAATTGCTGATGAATTAAAAAAATATATATTTGCGTTGGCATGCCTTAAAACAATATATGCATGCTCAAGATAAAAATAGTGCATTAATATTTATTGTGGCTATTTTAAAGATAACAAATATTTTACATATACATTATGTCGTAATGGTATATATAAATATACCATTTTAATGCTTTATTTTTAATCATATATATTTATATCTCTTACTTAGATTCTTGCATAAATTTGCATCACATTCAATGATCACCTCTATGTCTAATACTTTCAAGTGCCTCCAGTTAAATTACACTAAACTACATTTTCTACGCTACTATTCAAGGATAAGATTATCGCGCATTTTCGCACGGACATGAGGAAACCCAAGACTATCTTATGTATTATTCGTGGAATTTACGCTATTTAATTTCCCTAACATTCGAATAAGCATGAATAATTTAATCTGGAAATTCATGTTCACATGTGTGCATCTTATGGAAATAAATCTCGAGGAATTTCAAATTGCATTATACAGTTTTTTACAAGTTGATATTTGCAAAACTATATTTTTTGCGAAACAATGCTTTCGTCATTTAAAACGGTACGTGCAAAATATGAACGTAAATTGAAGACATTCGCATGCGTATTGTAATAAAAATACGCATGTAATATGACTTGTAACATAATATTTTGAATATAGGAACACTCCAAAATTTTCTAACACGTCACTTTTCTAAAAATACTTCTACAATAATTTTACCATTATTTTATAAATACGTATGACGTATAAGCAAACATAATTTTCCAATAAAACGCAAATTTAAACTTGAAACTAGAAGAAATATATCGTCTCTATCTATTCTTTTTTTTTTTATTTATCAATACTTCTGCGTAAACTTTTCCACTATCTTCTATATTTATTGCACAACGCAATTGTGTTGTAACAAATAGCACAGATTGCAAAACATGTTATCTAAGAAAAGGAACAACACAAAAATGAGCAAAATAGACATTCCTGAATGATTTTTGTTTGTGTAACAAAGCACTTATTATGGTTGTTGAAAACGAAATGAGAGATAATAAAACAACAAGTGCGTTTTGGCATAATTTGCTTTTGTTTGCCTTAAACGCGTCGATGATTTAAGTCTCTAATTTTTAAATCTTTTCTTAACAGCGGAATAAAAATAAAGTAAGTCATATGTTCATTTTGTTATCTCATGTTTCTTAAGAGGTTATTGCATTCGTTTTTTTATACCGTTATTTCTCAGTCATATTCTGGCCGTTATTTTTTTTTAAGTAATCCACTTCCAAATGACTTCCCACATCTCCGATGACAATCCACGCGCTTTACGACTCACATCCGCTACGGATAACGATTCGCTGCACAGTTTGCACGCAATAACTTTTTGACACACGACTGACGTGTACTTCGTACGCGATTACATGTTACAACTAACCCATCTTCAACAATATTCACGATTGTGCAATATAATCGCGACATTATTACATTAAGAAAGGAAGCCCACTAAAGCGAAACTCAATCAAATAAAATCCTCAAGCCCGAACAAATCAATTAAATAAATAAGTAAATTTAGTCTTTAGTACTAACACTTTGGACTGATTCTGTATGATCGTTAAAATGCAATTCACTTTCCTATTGTACTGCATTGTTTGTTCAAGGGCCATGACTATTATTTAAACGATTTTATTTATGTACGCAGTTCTTTCTCGGTGCATATTGACTTTCACTTCAATTAAAAACATCGCTTGCGATAAGACAAGCTATGTAATTTGATTTCTTCTAATCGAAAGATATTATTGGTGTCGACAATTGATGTCAATAAAATCAAATAAAATATAATCTATATAATATTACTAATAATAAAATGTATATAAAATAATAATATAATAATTTTCATTTCCTTTATCATCAAAGTGTTAAATTAAATTACAACTGAAATGAAGACTCTAAATTAGACTGAAACGAAGCGTTTTACTAATGAAATTGATCCTAAATAATCTGCTTACCTTGTAATAACTAGCATCTAGTATTACAAGCCTCGTATAGCACTACAAATCTAGTATTACTATATATATAGTCTTTGTAAAACAGAGATTTATTATTAGTCGACTAGGAATAATTGCCGAGTCCACGGTGACGACTTAGATCGGACTGACTGGAATACTATGGCTGCGTTTCACTGAATGCTCGCAACGCTCGCGAGCATCGTTTGTCCTTGTTTAATATTTGATAAATGACAAGGATGAAATGATTCTTCGAACGAGCGTTGTAAGCGTTAAATGGAACGCAGTCTATTTGTTTATGACTGCTTTTATCGTTTTGCTCCTAAACCGTTCTATTAAATTGATATAATAATAGCGCGTAACAGAAAATATTTGTTCATAAGCTATCGAAATAACTCAAGCATAAATGTATTCGTCGATAATAATTAATTATTTTTTTAATATTTTCATATAATAATAATTGTACAATTATATTTTACACCGAATATAAATTTTTATAGGATTTGAATAAAAATTAGAACATATCTGTAGAAAAAATACGAAGAAAGCGTGACGAATACTGTCATATCTTTCGTTAACTTCGTAATATAATCTAAACTATTGTTTTTATAATAAAATCACGAATGATACTTGATTGAAAACAATAATTAAATTTTGTATTATCTGTATGATATAGTTACATCCAAGATTTGTAATTAGGGGGTATACTGATGTTTGTGTTAGTTACTTTTCTTTTTCTCAACGAAGATAGAAAAAGAAAAATAATAATCGTGAATGACACATCAAGTCAAAGCCCAGAATTATAAATCGTAGACAGCACTATAAGCTTAATTATAGTTCTTTTAATATAAAATCTTTTAATGTAAAAAAAAGGAGCTCTTATTATAATTCAATTTAAATATCAAATATTATTGCAATATATGAAAGTTTTTATATAATAAAATATAATTATGATTAGAACAAAGAATTAACTTGAACTTTGCACATTATAGAGTTGTAATAGAAATTAAATATATGTAATAGATTTTTATTTTCTTAATGTAATGTATAGTTTTCAAATAATCGCGAGAATACTCACGCAAATTTTATTTGAAGAATCCAATAAGAGATAGATTGAAGAATCTGTTATACAATAATTTTTATCACAAATACAATCACAATATAAAACGAGCAAGTCATAATGGTCTTTAAAACGGCAGCGTGTAACTCCAAATTGATAATTACCGAATATTAGCAAAGAGACTGAGATGATTATTGTTCAAAAAAATCACAAAGTATCTTGAGAAATAATTTAATCACCGTCAAAGTTCGATATTACAATCGATAGATACATAAACCCGCAGTCGGTATACCATGACTTTCACGACGTGTTTCAGTTCCAGAATAAATAAATTCTTGACGAAATCGGTAGATATACCGTCGACGTAAGCGCAACCACTCGGTAGGATTAGTAACGGCATTGCGTGCTTGAACGGTTCTGAGTCATTCGTGACTCGAACCGCCGTTTAGTCAATTCCTGATCGTCGAGCTGGTCG